AAGAAATTGTAATAAAGAGAGGAGAAATACACTAACACACTATTTGATTCTCAAAAAATTGTTTGGATTGATTTTTTATTCCTTAACTAAAAATAGTAATTTGTCTGGATTGTTTCATGTGAGTAAAAGTCCTCAGGTTTGAATGAGATGATTAAGTTATTTGGTAAAGTCCTCAGGTTAGAATATGAGATGATTAAGTTAGTTGGTAAAATCGACAGTTCTATTCTATGAATAAAAATGTGGTTTAGGAAGAAGTCGATGGAGCTTGCTAAAAAAAAGTTAATGGAGCCAATTTTTTAATTTATATTGGTGTCAATTGGTAAATATGTTTTAGTTTTTCTAAAACACATATTTAATGTTTATATTATCGACTATCTTATTTGATATTTTAACCCTTTTTTCTGTGACAAAAGATAGTTGATAATATAAACGAGAAAACCACCAAAATAACCTTGAACTTTCAAAAAATGCCAAAAAAGCTTCAAACTCCTATTTAAACAATTTAAATTGTCAAATTTTCAAATTTGGCCATTTTAATCTTGCATTTATGTTGACTCAGCCATTTTAAACTCAAATAAAGTCAACAGTTAACTTTTCGTTAACATCCGTTTAATTCAATATAACACCATTTTCAAAAAACCCCAACTCGCGAGTATCTTGAGACGAAAACGAAAACCTAAATTTATAATGACTTTATTTGCCTTGACTGAAAAAGAGAAGAACACATCAAACTCAAGAGTTCAAACACACAATTGTTTCTAACATTTGGTTCCACATAGTACCGAAGTTTTGTGGTTCTAGAGATGGAGCAGCAGGTTATGTATACTACAATTAAGAAGCCTTGAGATCTAGCTGGTACTGCTATGGCCAGATGTCTAAGAGTTTTGTGGCACCATCAGGAACAATGGTATTGGCCAAGACTCCATATTAAAGACTCATATGACACTGAGATGGAGAGATACAGTGAGAGGGAATCAGACTTTGTTGCTGGTACATCAAAAGTTACAGATTCTGTAGAAGTTATTCGTGTCTTTCCAAAACGTGATTCACATATTACACACAAAGATCGTAGCGTGTAGCGTGATCATAAGTAAAGAAGAGTGTTCTGCATTAATTTTAATCTTGAATTTAAGAAGATAGAACATTCACTTCACAAAGATACTTCTAGTTGGTAAAAGGAGGAAGAAATATTAAGGGTCTATGTTATTCTCAGAGCAAGAAGATCACAAGCAAATGGTTAACAGCAAGTTGGATGTGTTTATACAAAGCAACAAGGAAGCACCAAACAGTAGGTGAAGTGAAGAACCATAAGAAGAAGAAGATGCCAAAGTCGTGGAAGTTAAAGTTCAGAGGTTTGATCACAAGAAGCAGCAAAATAGGGGATAAAAACTTGCTATGTTGACGACAAACTTTCTCTGAGATTCACGCTAACCTTGAGGTCAAGGTGTTTTGAAAGCGAAGCATTTGATACAGGAAAAGCTATTGGACACGTCACGGGACAAGTCCAGTGTGAGAGAATATCAACTTGTTAAATATAAAAAACAGAGTACACTTTGTTTTGGGAATCATCAAAAAAAGTTAGAAACGTTTGCTATTTCATCTCTTTCTCTCTGTAATTTTCCAGGAAAGAGCTTTGTTCTCATTGTTGTTTTAAAATCTCTTCTTCAATCAAGATTTTTACAAGTGAGATGAGAATTTATGTTTCATGGACATTGATTCTTGAGTTTATCAGCATACGGATGAACCGTATCACATCACTGATCCAAAAGTGAGACGACCACGGCCAATTCGCTTGGTCTTAGCCATCCTTACCAATTGTCGATGTTGTCGTCAACAGAGAAAGGATCGAAGAATAGGAGTTCTATAATTTAGAGATTGATCGTAAGCTTTACTCTATCTCTGTTTAGTGCAAGTTAATTAAACGACAGAATAACTCTAAACAGACGTTTAATGTTTATTAATAAAAGTTAACTGTTGACTTTAGTTGAGTTTAAATGGCAGAGTCAACATAAATGTAAGATTAAAATGGCCAAATTTGAAAAGTTGACAATTTAAATTGCTTAAATAAGAGTTTGGAGTTTTTTTGGCATTTTTTTTAAAGTTCAAGGTTATTTTGGTGGTTTTCTCTAATATAAACATTAAATTTGGTTAATTTAGTCATTTCACTAATAAATAAGTGTAATTTTCTGAAAAAAATAAAAAAATAGTGTAGTTTTCAAATTATAATCTCATGTAAAGGTATTTTTCCAAATTTTCCCTAAATTTTATTCAATTCAAATGTCCCATTAAGATAATGAATTATGGGGGGTGTATTGAATAGTGGATTTTAAAATTTTGAGTGGATTTGAAAAATATTGGAGTTTGGAGAGATTTGTACTAAATCACGTTATATAGATGGGATTTATAAAAAAAAAGAAAAGGGATTTGGTGGAAGTTTTTCTTGAATTTCAGAGTAGTTAAGATCATTTGATCTTAATATTTCAGAGTACTTTTCAAAGTCTNGGGGGGTGTATTGAATAGTGGATTTTAAAATTTTGAGTGGATTTGAAAAATATTGGAGTTTGGAGAGATTTGTACTAAATCACGTTATATAGATGGGATTTATAAAAAAAAAGAAAAGGGATTTGGTGGAAGTTTTTCTTGAATTTCAGAGTAGTTAAGATCATTTGATCTTAATATTTCAGAGTACTTTTCAAAGTCTAATTTGCTCTGTTTTTTTCTCTTTTAAAACAGAGTGTGTTCTCCATCCAAATTAAATTTGTGATAACGTGACTTTTTTCCAACAGAGTAAGAACTTCAATGCAATTTCATTATTTTGTCTTCTTCCTTCGTTGAGAGAGAAGAAAACAGACCATAATAAACCTAACTAGATATCATATTTATCACCGTGTTATGTCACAACGAGCGTAAAAGCAGAGAGTAAGAAAGTTCACCTCTTTCTTCATCTTGTTCCAATTCGTCTTCTACCTCTTCTTATTCACTCGCTGCAACGAGTTTGAACAGCAGCCTATTCACTATATTCAAGTAAAACTCAAGAGCTTACTAAAACAAATATAATAGAACAAAATTGTTTATTAAAAAAATCAAATTCAAACGACAACACAAAATATAAATTTGAAAATGTAACAGAAAAGAGAACTTCTTAAAACAAAGTAAACTGTTGATGCATCAAGATCGCATATGCATAGCATCTGTCCACATAGTTGCTGCTATATTTGCTCTCCAGTTATTAGCATTCACTCTCTGTTGTTCTTGAGTACCATTCTGAACATCATCATCCATGTACTCATCTTCACCTATTCCTCGAACATTCCTTTCGTTAGGATTAACGACAACAATTTCTTCAGGAAACACGTCTGAACGACATTCTTTACGTAGATAATTATGTAAAACAACACAAGCAAGAACTAACTCTGCTTGTGTTTTATACGGAAATGGTGGAGCAGATTTGAAGATGAGGAATCTTGACTTAAAGATGCCAAAGATTCTCTCAATCACATTTCGCAAGCATGAATGACGATGATTGAACAACTCATTTTGATTCACGGGATCTTTGCCTTGTCCCATAAACTCTTGAAGATGATAGCGAGTACTTCGAAATGGAGCTAAAAAATTACGCCGATTGGCGTATCCACAATCGACCAAATAGAATTTTCCTGATATTGTATAACATATGCTATTAATTTTAGAAAAAAATAACACATCAAGATTTTAATCATAAGAATAAGACATACCTTCTGGAACTTGTAATCTATTAGAATTTCTTGTTAAAGCATCTTGTAACACTTTAGCATCATGAGCTGAACCTTCCCATCCACTAAGAACATATATAAATTCTAAATCAAAATTGCACGCAGCTAAAACATTTTGCGATAGCTGTCCTTTTCGATTGCGATAGCTAGATGAATCTTTTCCACTTATCATTGCAAGAATATGTGTTCCATCAATAGCTCCCACACAATCCTAATAAAATATAGAAGCATGTAAAAATTGTTTTTTTTAGAAAAGCATGTAAACAATTGTTGTATTTAAAAAGTACATAAGAGAAGAATTACACATACCTTAAAATAAGGATAGTATCGTGTGCTATCTCTTATCTTTGGGGGCACTGTTGTTCCAGGTTTGGCCATGTAACTTGGAGCAAGTGCGTTTAATACCTTCAGTATTGTATGAAAACTTGTACTTATTGAGAATCGTGACCTCTTGAATCTATCTTGAGCCTGAATATATCTTGAATTTTGACCAACGATGAACAAAAAAGTGGCCAGCATTTCTTCAACTGAAACATATCTTGTGTCTTTTATTCCCATCTTTACTCTTATAATAGAACATAACTTCAAAAACACATCCGGATACATACGATATAGATGTCGAAAATGTTCAGGATCTTCAACCAACGCATTTTGTATGTATGCACATGGTACCGAAAATCCGAAAACCGAAATCAAGCGAACCGAATCCGACGGGGGCCCCGAACTCCCAGGCCTAGGAGAAAACAAAGATGAGTGAGACGTATATGAATAAATTAAATTAGACCACTGTAGGAAAAAACAAAAACCATAACATTCTGAAATAAAAAAATAAAATCATAACAATTCTGCAAAGTAGAAACAAAACCATAGCTAAAATAATAATAAAAACTCAACTTTAAAGATTAAAAGACAATACGAACTAAAGAACTCTGATCATGTTGTGTTTTAAACTTCAGTCAATGGTAATCTTATCATCGTAAGAGATTATAAATTTCAAAAACTCAGTGACATTGATGCTTCTAGTTCAAATCAAATAATCAGACCACAACTTCGTATATAAAAATGTATCAGATTATTTGTAGGAGAAAACAAAACCATAGCAGTTCTGAAATAAAGAACAAAAAACATAACAGTTCTGAAAAAGAACAAAAACCATAGTAAAAAGCAATAATAAAACTCAGCTTTAAAGCATAAATTTCAAGCTGAAGAACTATCCTTAAAACTCCAATCATGATGATCCGTTTAACTTCAGCCACTTGGTTTACGAAGATTTCTTTTAATCCATCCACACCGATCTATTATGGACATATTCACGAAACCAGATTTCATGCCTAAGCTATGCACAAGGGTCATCGCCTCATAACGCAAATCATCATCCAAGTCAGGAATTTCCTTGATAGCATCCCAAACATTGTTAGCTTTGTCTTCAGCTTCTTTTTCTTCAGCCTCCTTCATCCATCTTTTCTGAATCATGTCAAAAATCTGGCTACTGATTTCTGTAACTTCCTCACAAACCTTTTCCGAGTTATATGCATCCGTTCTAGCTTTCTTTCTATGGGAAAGCTTTTCACCAATGCTTTTTCTTGATGAAGAAAAAACTTCATCTTCACATGTTTGCTGGGGTACTACTTCTGCCTCATCTATCACGTGGACAAAATCATTATTTGTCCTCTCGTTTTCTTCAAATGGACAGGATCGTGCATCAACAGAATCACCTAGTCCCATAGCATTCTGCCCAGTTGCAGTATTTTGTTCAAATATAGTCCTTAAATCTTCAAAATCTTCAAACGAATCATCACGCAGATTTGTATTATTTGGATGAGCCTATTAAAAAGATCAATATAATAAGAATCATATGTAAACAACACCAATGTAAGCATGAAGTTCATATTATAATTATTTACCTCCAGATAGACCTTCCATACTTCATCATCTGCTGTGAATTTTTTTGTTTCAGAGTCCCACCCAAAACCAGAACTGCAACGAAGAAAATCTGCAAACCCTTGGTACCTACCCTTCAAGATCTTCATCCTATTTCTAAACTGATCATAGGTTTTTGTAGATCCAAGCTGTTGTTTTAAAGTTGTTAGTATTCTGGACTCCACCGTCAGTTTGTTGAATTTGCCACTGGCATCACGAAAACCTTGATTGATAGCATCCACTAGTAACCTCAATAACAACTTGTGCTCAGGTTCAGACCATGAATGATACTGACCTTTACCTTTTACGTCTTTTGGATCTCCCATTGTTTGGAAGGAAACTAGTCATATAACACCATAAGATTATAAGAATTAATATAATATATCTAAACCCATATCTAAACTAATGAATTAAAGGTGCTATATTGATCGTCAAAAGACTCAAACCCATAAAAGGAACAATATTCAAAGAAAAACATCATCCAAATTCATGAAAACTAAACAAAATAATGAAACCAATCTGAAATTACACATTCCAATAAGCAAAAGTGATGAAAAAGAATACTCACTTTGACAAATAAAAGAGATGATTGATGCCCGTATCCTATCAGTTTTGTAAGCTCTTCCCATGTTACTGATCTTATATATAGATATAGGCATACCAAACTAACCCTAATTAAACGACTAACGAAAAGAAGCCCATCATATTATTTAATTTTCTAAGGAGCAGCCCATAAAGATATCAACAAGATACATATTTATCCAATCACAAAAATTAAAAAATCAGCATTGCGTACCTTATGGTGGAAGGACATAACCAAAACCCTCATATCCAAAGCCCTCCTCGCTTTTATGGTGGAAGGACATAACCAAAACTCTAATCTACTTGGAGCAAATAATCTCATTGAAGAATACTTCCTCAAACTTTTGAGTTTTGAGAGTTGAAGCAACATGTTTCAGCTGCACTTGGCAAAGAGCTTATTTTGGTGAACCAAAGCTCTGGAAAAAAAAAAGAGAATCAAAGAGAGTCACGAACAAAAACTTTACATAGTTTTTCAAGCTCACAAACATCAGTTGGCCATAAAGTAGACCAGAAAAGAACATAACCTCAGATCGACGTGACTTGAAATAGAACACCAGAGGAGCGAATAGAACATGTTGATTAGAACCTCAGATCGAAGTAGAACATAACCTTAGCTCAACCTTATTTCAAGTCTCTTCTAGTTGAAATAGAACCTCAGATCGAAGTAGAACAGAAAAGAACATAACCTTAGCACAATCAGATTCTTGTACAACTAGAAGAGACTTAAAATAGAACACCAGATGAGTGAATCGGTTGATGTCTACCTTAGCACAATCTCAGATTCTTCAGAGCACAAAACAGCTTTCTCAGATCCAACGAAAGCTCGAGACGAAATCAAATCGAACAATCAGAGGGCTTCCTCCAGATTTGAGAGACTCCAAAATCGAATCTTTGGCTTCCAAAATTGTTGACTTGGAAATTGATTCAGGTACCAGAAGGAATCGAAAGTCTAGTACTTTTCTGGGAAGCTTCGTCTCTGATATTCCCCTTCGTTGTTCTCTCTTCTGTGTTTCTTATCATCTCAAAGTGGTCAATTATTTTTTAATATTTGATTGTGTTTTTTTCCCAAATAACAGGTATAATGGTGGGAGTTGTATAACGATAGTTTGGACTAAAAATAATGAAAAAGTTGGCTTCAAATCCTTTTGATATCCTTTTCATAGTTTTTCACAAAAAAAATGTTTATCTTTGAATAACACTGGATTTGATTCAGTTTTTGTAAATTACTAATTGAATAACAGTGTATTACAAATGATTTTAAGAGATTTTAGATGAATGTCATATTCAATAACACAGGATTTGAGAAAAAAAATAGAAATCATTGATTGAATAACATAGGATTTNTTTGATATCCTTTTCATAGTTTTTCACAAAAAAAATGTTTATCTTTGAATAACACTGGATTTGATTCAGTTTTTGTAAATTACTAATTGAATAACAGTGTATTACAAATGATTTTAAGAGATTTTAGATGAATGTCATATTCAATAACACAGGATTTGAGAAAAAAAATAGAAATCATTGATTGAATAACATAGGATTTAAAACAAAACCAAAACACTTTAAAATCCACTATTCAATACACCCCCCTATATGTTTTACGCTAAAATAGGTGTTGTATCTGTCCAATTTGGATTTGACCTGCCTTGGCCAAAAAGATAACCCCATGACCAAAAATCAACATCTCATTCCCCAGAGACTCTACTCTTTCCCATTCTCCAACCTCAAGATTCAGCTTACAGCCGCAAAACTTTCTGTTTAACTCTTTCACGCTCAGAACGATCAAATCCTCTCCTGAATTTGCTATAGCTATCTTCATCTTATATATCGTATCTACGAAGGGACAATGATGATTAAGATAATGGTTTCCTTCAAGAGTTTCTTTAGGACAATCTCCAGAGAAATCAAGAACGTTGATGTAGTGATCATAGGTATAGACATAAAGCTTGTTGTCTTTATAAGCCATGTCTTCACACTGTGTGCATGTAACTCCATCTCTTACTACCATCACCATCACCATCATTTGCTATGTTCTTGTATGAGAAAATATAGAATTTGTTAATAGCCCAAAAGACGAAGAAATCTCCATTTCTCTTGTTTATCCACAAAACAGCGGTCTTAGAGAACTTAGATTGTCCCAAGAAACTTGGTGGCGTAGAGCTCAAGGAAGCATTCAAATAGGTCATTTGCTGTAACTAGCGAGTTAGAGAAGATGTTACGAGGGTAAAAGAGCATGACCTGGTGCTTGTCAAACTCGCTTTTCAATCTACAAACTATTTGATCTGGAGAACATAATAACAGTAAGTATAAGCAGCCTTATCACTCAGTAAGAGAGTTACCAAACATCATTCATAAACATATCAGCAATCGACTGAAGTCATTAAAGCAAAACTATTAGATACTGAGGATGAAACACAAATGAGTTGGGTTATAGGCTCAAATTTCAAGCCAGGTGAAAATCATTGTTAAAAAATAAACAAAATTTTTGATCTTCTAAGCAATGTCTATGTTTCTGTTTTTGTAAAAAAATATTTTTCTTGATATATAGATATTACATTTCAGCAAAAAGAAAAAAAATAAGCATAACTAAAATATTATTGGAAATTATGAAGAGGATGTATTCAACACCACCTTAAAAATGTTTAACTCCTAAGAAAAGGGTATAGCTCATACCTTACAAAACAATTCGAACCTAAAACTCTCGCTCCTTGTTTAATGTCGTTCTTCTTGAAAAGTTTTGTGATACTCCCTTTCAAACAACTTGTACAATCTAATGATACATCTAGACATTGCACCATTGCATATAATGTATTTTTCCCTACCTTCTTTTCCCCTGCCGCGTAAAATACGGGGAGATGGAGTATATTGTTGGGTTTCTGGAGTTTAAGTGTTAGCTCAGAAAGAAAATCTATTGCTCTATTGGCAAACAGTTTTGTATCCCCTCTCACTTTTTTTGGATTGTGCATAGAAAAAATATTCTTGTAAATAGTATTGCCCGGAAGTTCTACATCGACCGTGCTAACATAGAGAAAACATTGGTCGTACCATATCATTCCTCCTTTGTTATTCGGACATCTCTTACGAAACTGCAATATACAACAATATATGTTTGTATTATTTTAAAACATGATTTGATATTTCAGTGAAAGCTTTTTTCTCCTAATTCTTTGTATAGAAAACGATTATTTTGATGATTTGGAGAATCTAGAAAATTAAGGATTTAAGAAAACAGCACATGTATAAATAATTTTCAACCTTTAGTAACATAATTGAATTTAATAAAATCATCTTCAATATAAATTCGGTTTCTACACTATTTATGATAATTTGTGATGTCTATATAACTACAAATTTCGATATCAGAAATTTCAAGATATCTGAATCTGTCAGATCCATGTTTGATTATCCCTATCCGGATCCGTGATTTTGGGATACTTAGATAATGTATATTAACATAAATATTAACACAGACACAGCAGTGAATATTTGTATTTGGACACAAAACCATAAAAAACGATAAAATATTTATAATATATTTAACTAAATTTTACAGAATTATATAATATGGAACAAAATAGGCCCAAATAAAATAAAATATTTTAGAGAGTAAGATTATTATTATAAATAATTTAAAATATTTTATGTTATCTTCAAAAAGAATTATTAATTACATGTACTGTAAACATACTTAAAGAATCTGGATATCCAAACAATAATATCAAGATATCCAGGTATGATCCTGTATTTACTGACCCAAGATTCTATTACACAGATCCACCTTTCAAATTATCTGGATATTCAAAGTGGAGACGAAACAGATCTCACATTGTATCCCAAATATTTAACAACTATCCCATTTCTATCTTCAACAACTGTCAAAATTTGTTAGTTGATATTTTTCTAATTACTCTAATCTAGTTTTTGTTTCATCTAGTCTCTTTTGGCTCAAAGATACAGTTTTACATCATTACAAAAACGTAATCTTTATATTTAAATGTATGAAGGATTATTTACCCCAGAAATTGCGGTGTCAAAGCATGTAAAGCTAATTTTATTCCCATAAGAGTCACCACGACATTGGACAATGATTTGAGCAAAATTGGCTGTTGTATTTCCACGACTTACTTTTGTGGAACCAACCCCATAAGGACTAGTACGAATGTAATCGATGATGGAGTTGAGGTTGTACTCGTACTCACTTCCAAAGTTATATTTCCCTTGATTAAGGAGGCATTTGTGGTTTAGATACTCATTGGTAAGATTCAATGAAAAAACACTATGTATAATGAGAAATTGCATGGTTAAAATAGGAAAAGAAAATCGTTTATGTAACAAATATGAAAATTTCATTGTTATAGATATCTTATTTCTTTTCAGTAAATGATGACTTTTAGATGAAGTGTTAGATTGACATATTTATATAGAAACTCAGAAGAAATTCCAATCACTTGATCGGAGAAAAAAGAGTGCATATTTGCGGCGGTGAAAATGGATGGGCAAAGAAAAATTCTAAATTCAATTATTTACTAAGCTTAAACTCCTAAAAAAATCAAATTGATACAAACATTATATGCACCACTCTTGAATCAACATGCTTTTTAATATTCTACCCGTTTTAAAATGATGTATGTGTTATAATTTTCATATTTTTGTTTTGATAACCGTGAGATCCCAAAGATTTTCTATACCCAAAGACTAATTCTCTGAAATCCATAGAAATTCAGATTTTCTTGCCATTTAAGACGTCTATGGGTAGCCAATGCTAATTGAACCCAGAGCAAAAATTTCAGCTGAAATCTCTTTACCACTAGACCAAGACGACTTGGTTAGTTTCACATATTAATAAAACATAATTAATTTTAATTATAAATATATTACTTTCTGATTAAATATTTGCCACAACTTTTAGCTAATCAAGATTAGATAAATATTATTTATTTTTTAAAGTTTATAATTTACTATTGTTAACTAATTAAAATATACTTTTTGGAAATAATATTTGTAAAATAATTTGCAAAAAGCCTTCGCTTTTTATTAAAAACTGACCATAAATCTAAATAAAATTTGTTGCTGAAAAAAATTCTAATTAAAACTTGTTAATATTATATGTGGACATTTTCTTTTGGTTAGATTTTTGGTTGTGTTTTCTGTTGATTTTTTTCCTGTTCTCGATGTACTCAGATATCTTTTCTGAGGCTAATTTAATAATAAAACCAGATTAAGAACAACGTCTTGTGCGAAATGAATATTATATATATTTATTATTTGTTATATGTTTTTTAATATTTTAAAATCTTTTCTATTAAAAGAGAAGTAACATTTTTATCTACTATAAAATAGTCATACTAAGTCAGTATATTCAGTTACATTGTTTTGATTATTTACATTAGTTTATTAAATATATAATATTTCTAAATAATTATAAATATATTAATAACAAATATATTTTAACTGTAATTTTAAATTTTAGTAATCAAAAATTCTGTTGAGAAAACAAATTAACAAAATCTTTTTAAAAAATTATTTAGTTTTTATTTAATGCACTGATTAATTTCGTAATTAGTAGTATACTATTATTATACATTAATCTTAATTAAAGTTTTATTATAAACAAAATATAATATACTATATGCCAATTTTATAAGTGTAGCTATATTATATTAAAATAGAAATAATAAATAAATTACATATAAAAATTAGATTAAATTAATTTGATAAACTAATACATATTTTTTAAAAAATAATAATTTAAATAAATAAATAAAATATCATTCCCTATTTAAGTGACTAAAATGTTACTTACCTTTTAAAAAGATTAAACATTCGTAAATTATGTAATAAATTTACAAAAAATAAAATTGTTAACATATATTAAATTTTTATATTTAGAAAATGAAAGATTACCCGCACGGATGTGCAGGTTCAAAATCTAGTAATAAATTAAAAATCAGTAACTATTACTTATATAATTAAAGTGGTGTGACCCATAAATAAATTCCATTAATACAAGAATCTTTTTTTATGTGGTATACAATTAAATTTAAATGATATTAACGAATATATTGTGTATTTTTAGTATTGATATATATTAGCGCGAAAACTAAAATATTTTAGCGGGAAACTAAAATAGAAAATTTCCTAGATGACTTACAAGACTCTAAACATAACTCCTAGGCGAAATTAACTAACTAAACACTTCCTAAATTCAAATTAAACTTAATAAGTGTTTACTATACACAGAAATAAAGACGTAAATGTAAAAATTTAATTTTTCAGAAAAACATATTAGATTTTTCAGTTTCAGTTTAGTAAACAATTATTATGAACTTTGAGCGGGAATACTAGGACGACTTACATGTAAGTCGCCTGATTTAAATTATTCACCAGACGACGACTTACATGTAAGTTGTCGTATTTAAATTATTCACCAGACGACGACTTACAAGTTAGTCGTCTAGACCTTGAATATAACCCTAAACTTAATTAACTAACTAAGAACTTCATAAAATTAAATTAAACCTAAAATGTGTTTATTATACACAGAAATAAACACGTATAGGTAAAAATTTAATTTTTCTGAAAAACATTCTAGCTTTCCAAAATCTAATCCTAAAAATACATATAATACTACAACATATGTTGTCAAATTCTGAAACCAAAGAATATCATAATCAACTACTTTCACTCATCTATATTGAAAACTATTCAATTTTATTATATCTTAAGTCACCGAACTTAAAACTATTTATAAATCTATAATACGAACTTCCAGCATTTCTGACAACTTACTGTGACTATATTTCTAAAAGTGACTTCTGTTTTTTATTTAGTTACAAAGGGTTAGCTCTAATTTCATAAGAGACTGAAGTTAGTTTTGCATTTGATTCAAGTTTAGATATAGATTTTCATTTAAAATGATGTTTTAAATCATATATGAAAAATTATCCTATAAAGAAACCTATGTAACGTAAGCAAAACAAAATTGGTCCATTAAGCACACACTCATAAATCCTATTAAATCATTAATCTACCTCTTCTTCTTTTTAACAATCATTACTCTACTCCTATAAGATATACTAAGGAAATTGTATGATATTTTTTCTTTTATTTTTACTTTATATTTAAAATTTCAGGTACACAATTTTATATTTTTATGATATGACTAGGTTGGTATATTTGTAATCTAAAAAAATATCAAACAACTGTTAAAATAATGTTGTAAAAGTATTGAATGATTTAAAAAATTTCGAGAATTTGGACGAAAGTATTGTAATTTATCATATTAGTTACAATCATTAAGAAGCAGATTATATATTTACTTTTCATTAAAGAAAATTTTGGGTTGAAATCAATTTTTTTTTTTTGTTAGAGGACACTAAACGCCGAATCATCCGGACCGATACCGAATGAGACACCGAACACCCATGCTTAATCATCACTAGAAATACCAATTATATGTTTTAGTCAAATAAAAAGAATTATATGTTGTTGAGAATGTTAATTTGGTCTTGAATGATCTCTGCACAAACAAGGACAATATGTGGACCTCACTTACATTTTCTTATTCCTTGAATGAATCTCCCCCTTCTCTTCTATTTTGGAATGTGAAACAACAAAACTACAAAGTTTTTCTTGAAATGTTTTGGTCCCCACCCGACCTATCTACCAGTTTTTTTTTTCTAAAAAGATTTCTCTTTAAAACTAAATCAAAATTGTTTTATTAAATTTGAAAGAGAATCAACCCATTAATGAAATCCATTAGTATATAGTTTTTAAGCACAAATAAAAAAGATCAAAATGCAACTAATGAAAAATTAATTTTATTCATAAAATTAAAGGTAATTTAGAAAAACATAAATCATTCATTAAAAGGAATGATCATGTTTTAATGGTATTGATTAAACTTACAAGCAGTGATCGATCAAACAATGATAACAACACTTCAGAAAGATAGCAACGTGAAGCACTTAAGCCACGAACAAGCATAAAGATAAGAGGAAGGCACAAGACAGCCATCTAAATAAGAAAATCATGAACAGTAGTTAGAGGGAAATTGAAATGGAAATTGACAGAACAGAATCTTGTTGAACAAGGAAAAGTCACAGCGACTGATGACTATTACCTCTTCCAATGGTATTAGTATTCTTATGCTCCACGACCTCAGCATTATAGTATACCTCTGTCCGAAATCACCTTCTTTTTAATCTCCTTTTCTCAGACCAGATCAGAATACCAAGTACAAAACCCCAACTTGAAACTGAGGATTAGAACAATGACACTAAAAACAATCGGCTAAAGTCACTAAAAGCAAAGCTATCAAAAACAATCGACTAAAGTCCGTGGAGTAAATCAAGCCAGTTGAAAATCCTTGTTTAACAAAAGATAAGTCCATTTTGATCTTCTAAACAATTTCTTTGGATCTGCTTTTGTAAACGCTATTATTAATATATGATTATTACATTTCAGCAAAAAGGAAAAGAGTAAACAAAACTAAAACATAATTGGAAATTATGAAGAGGATGTATTCATCACCACCATAAAAGTTCTTTAACTCCTAAGAAACGGATATAGCTCATATCTGATATTACAGTTCATACCCAAAACTCTTCCTCCTTGTTTAATATCACCGTTCTTGAAAAGCTTATTGATACTCCATGCCAAGCAACTTTCATAATCTAATGTTGATCCTAGACAATGTATCATTCCATACAATGTATTTTTCCCGAGCTTCTTCTCCCCTGCTGAGTAAAGTTTGAGGACGGAGCCCCTCTTGGTGCTTATAGGGATTGTAAGTATTAGCTCAAAAAGAAAATCTACCACCCTCTTGGCGAACAATTTTGCATCCCCTCTCACGTTATTTGGGTTGTACATAGGAAAGATATTCTTGTAATCAGTTTTGAATTGTACATCTAACTTAATCGCACTAACCCAGAGAAAACATTGGTCGTACCATATTACACCTCCTTTGTTCATCGAACATCTTTTACGAAACTGCAATATAAAATCATATCTGTTTTGTATCATTTAAAATATAATGATGAATTAATATTTCAGTGAAAGTTTTCTTCTCCTAATTATTTGTATAGTAAGTTATTATTCTGATGATTAGAAAAAATGTTTAAAGTTAAGGATTTAAAGAAACCACATGTATAAATAGTTTGTAACCTTTATTAGTTGCATTTAACTAAAAAGCATCGTCAATATAATTTGGTCTGTACAAAACATTTATAATAAATTGTGATGTCTAAATAAATAACCAGGGTTNTGTATTCTTATAATCAGTTTTGAATTGTCCATCAGTTTCATTAATCGCACTAACCCAGAGAAAACATAGGTTATACCATATTATACCTCCTTTGTTCATCGGACATCTTTTACGAAACTGCAATACAAAATCGTATCTGTTTTGTATCATTTTAAATATAATGATGAATTAATATTTCAGTGAAAGTTTTATTCTCCTAGTTATTTTTATAGTAAGTTATTATTATGATGATTAGAAAAATGTTTAAAATTAAGGATTTAAAGAAACCACATGTATAAATAGTTTGTAACCTTTATTAGTTGCATTTAATTAAAAAGCATCGTCAATATAATTTGGTTTGTACAAAACATTTATGATAAATTGTGATGTCTAAATAACCCGGGTTTGAGAGGGGTCTGGATATCGGGAAATTTCAAGATATCCGGATCCGTCAGATCCATGTTATGACTACTCATAGTTATTAGATATTTATCTAAGATGAAATAAGTATTCTAAGATAAAATATAATATTTCAGAAAATAGAATAAACGTTACAAAACAATTTAAAAATATAAATTTGCTGTATAAATTTGATTTTATCTTTTATAAATTATTAACAAAATATGTTTAAATATATTTACGGAAACCAAAGATCCATTTTTACTGATCTGAGATACTATCTCACTGATTCAATCTTACGAATATCTGGATATTCTAATCAAACCGAATCTCATATATGATCCAGATCTTTGATAGTTGTCCATCCTTATCTAAGTATCTATACAAATGACAAAACTTTTCAGCTGATATTAACTCTAGTCTTATTTTTGTTTCATATAGTCATTTCTCTTTTGGCAATAAGGTTTTACAACACCTCAAAATCGTAATCTTAATATTTAAATATGTTACGGCTCATTTACCCCGGCGACTGCGGTGTCAGCACATGTACTGCATTTAGACCCATAAGTGTCACCACGACACTGGAACATGACGGAAACAGAATCCGGAGCTTCACCCTTAATTAAATGCTTGTAACCAGACTTAGCATAATCTTCAGTACGAACAGAACGTAAGAGACTGTTGAGGTTGTCCTTGTACTCACTTCCAGAGTTATAAATTCCTTGATTAAGGAAGCATTTGTGGTTAAGATACTCATTGGTAAGGTTCAATGAAGAAACACCATGTATGAGTAATTGCATGGCCAAAATAGGGAAAACAAATTGTTTGGATAAAGAATATGAAAATTTCATTGTTTTAGATTTTTATTGTTTTTCAGTAAAAGGTGATTTTGATAATTGATGTGTTGAGATTGACAATTTTATATACGAGATTCAAAAAGATTTATAGGAATGGCTCATTGTGTATAAGAGAGAAGTGTTTGCATATTTTTGCGGTGGAAACAGAGGGACAGAGAAAAAGTCCAAATGCAAAATGTTTTACCAAGTTTAAACTCCTAAAAATAAAATCAAACTGATACAAGAGTTTTCGTGCACCAAAGAGCTCAAGCTTTCGAAGATTGATGGCTAACTTAGGGCTTTTGTTTCTTGTATGAACTAAAGGCTTCATATATGTTTGGAGATTCTGTTTCAGTAAGATTTTTTGCAATTTTGCTAATCAATTTCGGATTATATTGTTTATTCTTCCTATAAACACTTCTTAACATAAGAAAAAAGGGTGAACAATTGAACATGGTTTTGTTTTTAAAATCCAAATTGAGTTCAATAGCAAAATACAATAGTTTTATGGACTCTTCATTTGAGATGATAATCTGACTACTTGTAACAAAATTGCAAAAAAAAAAAAAAAAAAAAAAAAAACGTATGAATCTTTATTAAACAGATAGAACTATAGGTTATATAATCGTCTAGTTAATTTTTAAAGATATGAGGCCAATTAATATACCTGACATGATTAGAGATATTCAAGTTGGGAGTTTCATCAAAGATAACGATGCAATCGTCACCGGCTGCGGTAGTGTCATAGTGACGTCACGGATATGCATATCTTGGATTACATAAGTTATATCTACCGATCTTGATTACGTTGGGGTTAGGGATCGACCGAGAAGAAGTTGAAGTGTCACCCATTTTGCTGTTGACTACGAGTGTCAAACGAACGCAAACCCAATGTTCATTGGCTCTGTCGTGCTGTGTTCTCCAAAGCTCCTTCTTTACTTAGATCGTCCTAGTAGTGACGTAAGTGATCATCTTCCGACTGAACTTTTCCTCTTCATTTTGTGCATGCACTCTTCTCTCCAATCGACAAAGCTCATCACGCTTTTCTTCAGTGTCGGGTGGATTTGGCTTCAACGTAAGGAAATAGAGAGTCCCTCAGGTGTGAGTCTCCTGAGGAAGATCATGTAGGATCCGTAATTGGTCTACGCAATTTGGCATGTAGTCCCCTGAATCATAGCTATTTAGGTGATTGGTTGAACCTTTTTTTTTCCAGTTCCATGTTGAATCTGTTGTATGCATCCCTCTTTTAGGGTTTATGGATAAAAATATATTTAAATACAAATTTACATAAATGAGTTACTATATTAGAGTATATACAATGGTCAATTTATTCAAAGCCATATTTTCTTCCTTTTAACCCTCTATCATCTTTTAATCCACCAGAAATTCATTCTTCATTATATTTTTTCTTCATTATATTTTTACCTCATTCGATACTTTTGTTTAATCAATTCAACATTATTGTAAGTATAAATCAATACGGAATACCAACTGAAATTAATATTAAAGGTTTTACATTATTTTAAAATATTTGTATAATTTTAAATTTCTATTCAAAACAAAAACATTTCAAATTATGAAAATATAAATTATTATGAAACAAGCACATTTTAATATCAAAATTAAATGAATTAAGGCTCTGAATGTAAACTATGAAAATGATAGATTTTGATATATAATATAGTCAAAATTATTTAAATTATTATTAATATATACATCAAATAATTAGGATAATATCATAATTCTTAACTTCAATAATATTTCAAGACATGTTTTGACTTTTTATTATTTTAAAAGTCGATTCTGATACTCAATAGTGACACAACACACGTCACTGTCTACAACTACAACACATACCAATGGGACATGTTCTTCTCAGAGCTGCTAATAGAAGATAAACCCGGAATGGTAGAACAGAAGTTACAGAACATGTTAAGTAAAATAAAGTTATATAGGAAGTTTAAAAAAGCATGACTTGTCCTTGTCAAACTCATTTTTCAAGCAACCATATACTGCTGACAAAAAAAAAAAGCAACCATATACTGAATCTCGAGAAAATGCAATGTCACAAAGAACCAGCAGCCTCATCACTTGGTAAGAGAGTTCGCAAACATCATTCATAATTATATCAGCAATTGGATGAAGTCACTAAAAGCAAAGCTATCAGAAACTGAGGATGAAACACAAGTCCGTTGATTAATAGCCTCAAGAGTTCCAAACAGAAAATCATTGTTTAACAGAAAAGAAAATTAAAGAATTTTTTGGATCTGTTTCTGTAAGCACTCTATTTATTAATATGTGAATATTACATTTCAGCAAAAAAAAAAAGTAAACAAAACTAAAACATAATTGGAAATTGTGAAGAGGATGTATTCATCACCACCATAAAAATGCTTAACTCCTAAAAAAAGGGTATAACTCATATCTTACATCACAGTTCGAACCCAAAACTCTCCCTCCTTGTTTAATGTCGCCATTCTTGAAAAGCTTTGTGATACTCCACGTCAAACAACTTTTACAATCTATTGTTAGTTCTACACACTGTACCATTGCATACAATGTATTTTTCCCGAGCTTCTTTTCCCCTGCTGCATAAAGAATGACACTGATCTTGGTGTTTTTCTCGACTTTAAGTGTTAGCTCAGAGAAAAAATCCACCGCCCTCTTTGCAAACAATTTTGCATCCCCTCTCACGTTATTTGGGTTGTACATAGAAAACATATTCTTGTAATTAGTATTGAGTGGCATTTCTTCACCGATCTCACTAACCCAAAGAAAACATTGATCGTACCATATTATTCCTCCTTTGATCTTCGGACATTTTCTACGAAACTGCAATATAAAACCATATATGTTTTGTATCATTTTAAATGATGAATTAATATTTCAGTGAAGATTTCTTCTCCTAATTATTTGTAAAGACTTTGAGAAATGCTAAAAGTTAATAACCAGTCATGTATAAATAGTTTGCAACCTAATTAACATATATCATTTAATACAAACCTCGCAATATAATTTGGTATCTACACAACACTTATGATAAATTGTGATGTCTAAATAACGAGGGTTGAGAGGGGTCTGGATATCCAGAAATTTTAGGGTATCCGGAGGACCGGAGCCGTTAGATCCATATTAATAATATCATATGCAGGTATGGAAACTTTTGGATATCTAGATATTTATATTTATCTAAAATGAAACAAATATTTCAAAATAAAATGAAATATTTCAGAAACAAAAGTTATTATGAAATAATTCAAAAATAACTTTGTATGTACAAAATTTAATGTTATCTTTAATGATACTATCACACGGATACGACCGTACGAATATCTGGTTATTAAAAGTGGATCTCGAGCAATATCATATCTGATCCAGGTCTTTTATATGCATAACAAATGTCAAATTTTTCTAGTTAACTCTAATCTTATTTTTGTTTCATGTAGTTTTTTTTCTTTTTTTTTCCTCAGAGATCAAAGTTTTAAACCACTTCAAAAACGTAATCTTTATATTTAAATGTAGGACAGCCCATTTACCCCTGCGACTGCTTTGTCACCGCATGTATTGCATTTAGATCCATAAGAGTCACCACGACACTGAAACATGATGGTAACAGAATAAGGAGCATGACCCCTGCTTGCACGCAAGAAACCGGTCAGATCATAATTAGCAATACGAACATTACGTAAGAGAGTGTTGAGCTTGTCCTCGTAATCACTTCCAGAGTTATAAATCCCTTGATCAAGGAAGCATTTGTGGTTAAGATATTCATTGGTAAGATTCAATGACGAAACACTATGTATGATGAGGAATTGGATGGCCAAAATAGGGAAACCAAATAGTTTGGATAGATTATATGAAAATTTCATTGTTTTAGAAATTTATTATATTTCAGTAAAGGGTGATTTTGATAAATGATGTATTGAGATTGACAATGTTATATAGGAGTTTCAAAAGGATTTTAATTGATTGGAAGAGAAAAATGGAAAAATAAGAAAAGTGTTTGCATATTTTTGGCGGCGGAAAGAGAGGGATAAAGAAAAAGTCCAAATTCAAAAATGTTTTACTAAGTTTAAACTCCTTAAAAATAAAATCAAATCGATACCAAAATTTCACTTATGAACTAAATGAGCTTTGTAATACGCTCTAGTTTTGTAAGTATAATAAGAATTTGCAGATACCTTAGCTTTCTAATTTAAAAACAGACTTTAATCTAATTCAAATCTGCCTAAATTATATGTGGAGTTAGTGCTTGTGCACCTTTGGCACCTGCCAAAAAGTGGTAATTAACTCAGATTAATTAAAATCACAAATTCTATTTTTTTATATTTGCTCAATTAACATTGACAGATTAATATATGAAACATATATATGTGAAGAAAAGGAAACTAAATTTTTTCATCAAGCAGTTTAATAAATCAAATTTTTATTGTATAAATGAGCTTTTGTAATGTGTTATAAATTTGTAAGCATAATAAGAATTTGCAAAAAAAAACCTTTGTTTTGTAATTTTAAAACTGACGTTAAACCTAACTAAAATTTGCTGAAATTATATGTGGAGTGGACTAGTGGTTGTGCACATGCCAAGAATCAGTAGTTAACTCGGTGTTATTTGGATAACAAATTATATTATTTTGTATTTACAGCTCCATTAAGATTCAAACATATGTAATATAAGGGAAACAAAATTGGTTCATTAAACACACTAATCTATGATTAACGAACATTAATTTATTATCAGACCATCGAATCTATATTATAATGCCACAGTTTCCTCTACTCTTAAGGTGTACATGTATGCAGTTTTTTCAATTAATGTGGGATCCATATTTAGGGAGTAACGAATCCACTTTGTATGTTGTTAGCCCATAAGTGAGATTTATGATTTTTAACCATGTGAATTATCTATAGTGAACTCTCAAAACCATATTAAGATTTTATCAACCATTAACTGTTTAGGCGACTAGGTTAAATTTAGTCTCCCCTTCAAGGCTTCAACGATGAACTGGTAATATGGTCTTGAGAGTTCACTATAGATAATTCACATGGTTAAAAATCATAAATCTGACTATGGGCTAACAACATACAAAGTGGATTGGTTACTCCCTAAATATGGATCCAACATTAATAGAAAAAACTGCATACGTGTACACCTTAAGAGTAGAGAAAACTGTGGCATTATGATATAGATTTAGACTACTTAAATGGCAGGTAATTATTGGGTACTGGATCTACCATTGAACCAGGTGGGCTAAGCTTTTTGTCAGTAAAATGATGCAGGTAGCTTACATCAGCTTTAGTTCTTCAAAGTTCCTCTTTCACAACAGCTCTATTCCCGTATATATGAAAAGTTACATTAAATACCGTTTCTGTATGTGTGAAGGGGTTAGTGTTCTTTTTGGATTCATTTATTATCGAACAAACTCTACAATAGTGCCACACATGTTGTAAACAAGTTTTTTTTTATTTGAATAAATTTAACATTCTTTCAAAAAAAAAAATGCTATATAAACTACGTGTTTCAGCCGCAGCTTGGGAGTTGCAGGAGGAGAGGCTTTCCCACGTGATTGGGACAACGGGAGGGATTCAGAAGAAGTAACATGTGCATGTACCTCTCCAAGTCAAGCGACCAGGTTACTACAACTCTGTAATACTATTTTCTGCAACTATTTGACTTAAAACAAATCCTAACTAATGTCTCCTCAACTGTTTTGATCAATACCCAGGAAGCTGATTTCCTGTGCAAAGCTTGGATCGTTGGTGTTCTCCAGCAAAATGGTTTGTCCCACGACTCTTTTACCAGAAGCAGCAGGAATTATCTAAACTGAGTATTAATTATATTCTCATCCGGTCTGATGTATAATAACCCATTGTCCTGTTAATTTCAGCGTGAAAGCAGCAACAAAGCTCCACATGTGGAGATGAAACTGGGCAACCAACACCACCCAACTTTGCAGACAAACAGAAGAACCGCAATCGCCTCCGTGCGTGAAAATTGGAAGTCAAGAAAGATGTCCCTCCACTTACATTTGGTAGACTACATTACAAGCTCTATGCAATAACTACTTTACTTTGTTTTACTTTTTTTAAGTTTCATTTTTTCAAATTTTCTGCAAACTATATAGCTCCCACTTGGAGTAGATTTATTTGGATTTAATTAAGGGAACCTTACGTGTATTTGAATCTTTGGAAAACGATCGTATGGTTTAGTATATGCTGGTATGCATAAACACATTAAGATAGACAGATAGTAACACCATGCCCATAACTGGACACTATTTGATGCAGCAACCTAGAATTTCTCAACATCACACGTTGTCTTCTTCAAAGAAATGCGATTATATTTTGATAAACCACTTAAGTGACATCTTTTTTTTTTTTTTTTTTTTTTTTTT